ATCCACGGCCACAAGCAAGGCAGGGGGTACGCGGCAGCCTCGGCTTCCTGCGGGGGGGGGAAGAGTTCAGCCTTTGAACAAGAAGCATGAACCAACGACGTACGTGGTACTGGAGTTGGCGCTAGCTGCAGGGTTAACAGTGCGCGCCGAAGCGGGTTTCCCGCTCTCGCAGGGCTTGACGGGCGAGGTGTTGCTGTTCTGAGGCGCGTCTTCCATCTTCTTCTTTGGCTTGTTCTTTGCGTCTCGCGACTTTTTATTTATTTTCTGGCTTTGCTGACGTGGCAGTGGTCATTGTGTGGGCGCGACAAAGGGCACAAGAGGCACCACAAAGGGCACTGAGTCGGGGGTGCGTGCGGTGTTCTTCTCCAACGTGCTGTCCGCCAGGTTGTCCCACTCCCGTTGCAGCTTGGCCACTTGCTGCACGGTGCCACACACACACACACACGAAAAAACGTGAGAGGTGCGTGAGAGGTGCGTGTGCGGTGTGTGCGCTGTGTGTGCGATGGTGCGAACCTGGGCAAAGGTGTCCTGGGAGCGCTTGAGCCTGAGGTCGATCTGCTTCTCGATGCGGACGGCTTGAGTGTGCGTCTCGAATTCCTCGCGAGCGCTCAGGATGGCGTCGTCGCGCTCCCTGGCCCTTTTCTCCAGGTTGGGCAGGTTGGAGCGCATCTGCTCCTGGTAGAGCCTGGCCTCGACCTCCTCGATCCGATCGCACTCGCGCTCGATCTGCGTGTGTGGTGGCGAATTCTGAGAATTCCGCACACGCCGCACGCCACACACCGCACACAGCACAATCATATCGTGTACCTCAGCCTTTTCGGCGTTTCGCTGCGTGGGGCTGACGTTGGCCGTGTTGTTCAGCTGCGCGCCAGGTGCCGAAGAACGCTCGTGTGTCAGCGACCACTAAACAGACTGAAGCGGAGTGGACAAAAATGTAGATTATACTCTACCCGAGCGATCTTGTTGTCGCGTTCCTTGCGGGCGCTGGCGATGCGATCGCGATAGTTGCGGCTGTAGAGTTCGACCAGCTTCG